CTTAACAATTAACCCAAATTTTCTTTTCAGGATCCCCTAAAGATACAGTTGCCCTAAAGACACAGGAAGTAACTTTAAGAACAGGATGCCCACATTCCCAAGAGGTGGAGTGGGTGCTTTTTGGTCACTCATTGGTTTATGGATATTTGTCATTGTTTAGGGAGACTGGCTACAAAATGTTGTTGCTACAATCGGGAAGAAAGGTGAACAAAGGGGATTATATTCAAGGTTTTTGTTCTAAAAAAAAAAAAAGGAGGAATCAAGATATGATCAAATAAAACGGGTATATTATTGAATCTACTCTGAAAAGAATAAAGGGAGGATACAGATAAGATAAAAAGCAACTACTCTTAAAAAGCAACTACTAGTCTTAAATATTTTGGATTGGATTTTTATATATTGTATACAAATGTATATTAATACAAATTTGAGAATAACTTTGCTAAAATATATTGTACATACATTTCTAATACTGGTCAAAGTATTGCAAATTTCTAGTCCTTGAAAGTTATTACCATCAATAATAACAATAAGGAACTGTAGTTTAGTAGTCAACTGTTACAATTGAACTTGTAGTCACATTAGGTATGCTTACAAGGTCAAACATATTTTAGAAAGACAGGTCGTCTTCAAACACTTCAGAGATCTACAGAATATGGCATTTAACAGGTTTTAATAACATAGGTTCTTTTTTATAATAATGAGACCTGTATGCTCCTGACAGCACCCATCTACATCAGAGAAGATAATGGGCATCGAAGAAACTTCACATGGAGTTTACTTTCTTTGTGGCAAAAGTAAGCCACTGGGCAAGAAAGTGCCCTTGCCTCAACTGTTGACAATATGCTGTCCAATTTGGACAAACAGGACACCAGAAAGAGTGACTGCAAGCCTTGCCAAATCCTTCAAAATATCCTGGTTCACAGAAATGTCTGTCAGATATGCTAGGCCTATAGGCCAAAGATGGATGCTCTAATGTTGCAGAGCAACCTTGGGTGACTATCCAGGCAGCCAGCTTTTTTTTTGTCATTTCTCACATTTTTTGGAAGTCGCTTGCTTTCACTTCCTGCTTACTCATTATTACTTATTATTTCCTTCTCAGGTCTCTGAGGGAGTTGACAACTAGATAGTATAGTTATAGTTTTCCTTATTTACCAGACTCAGTAAAGAAACTCAATAAAGATGTGTTAAGTGTAATAGACATTGTTAATGTACTTATAATCTGTATGTATATATACTTATTGCATATAGCTTTTGTTATATTAGTTATAATTTTTCTTAAATTTTAGACAAAAAAGGGGGGGATATGTAGTGATATCTTGCTTATACAAATAAAGCCTGTCTGAGAGCCAGAGAATGAAGCTTGCCACTAGCTAACCACAAAGGTCTGGAGGTCTGTACAGACAGATAGGAAGTGAGATAGCTGGGTGGAAACAACTTGGTCTCTTGTCTGAGAGATGCTAAGGAGGTAGGTGTGGCTGTGGCTTGCTCCTTCTCTCTGATCTTCTATATCTGACTCCAAGTTTTTATTAATTAGATCAATTAATTAACATACTAAAATATCTTCCATGAATAAGAAAAAAATCAGATTCAGCTAATCATAAAATATAGAATCTCTTTGAAAGCTTGGTTCATGGCCTTATTTAATGAAAGCACAATGACTTGAAGGTCCTTAACAAATACTTGTCCTTTCTGCAGTGCTGGCCTTAAAGTGGGAAAAGGAAAAACTCCAGGGCATAGAGAGGGATTTGGAAGCACACACTGAGCTAGCTGCATCAGAACTTTCTGAATTACTTACACTCAGCTCCAAGTCTAGATGATTACAAATCCAGGAAGAACTGGCCTATAATTCACATTTGGACAAATCAAACATGATATTTTGTTCTTTGACTAATTATTACAGTCCTGAAATAATGATTTGCATTCAGTATGCACTTCCCATGCCAAATATACATGACTTCAGTCTTTATAGTCCTAGAAAAATAAGTAATTTTAGAGTCAAAAGCCTAAGGTCTATAGATATTAAATATTGTGTCTCAAAAAAGATTTCTAGCAAATTCTAAAAAGCTAACCAGAAAAAGAGCGTCCTCTTTAATACTGTATTTAACACATCTGGAAATACTATTCCAGCAATGGTGATTGGATAACTCAAGTTTCGTGAATGGAAGGTAGTCAGACTCAAAAGTTATAGCAAAACCAGCAATATGGCTCAGTGGAGTGCTGAGCCCAATTGTCAGGGCTCACATGGTCAAAGGAGAAAACCAACTCTTACAAGTTCTCCTATAGCCTACCAGACACCATGGCACATGTGTTCACCCCCCCCCACACACACACACACACTTAACATAAAAAACTAAGCTGCAATAACTGTGCAGACCTTCTGAACTATTAAAAAGTCCTTAAATGAAATAGCATTAACAACTACATCAGAGAAAGTAGCTCCACGAAAAGGCACTATTGGGATGGAGAATCTATATATCTGAGATGAACCATAACGGTTTAATTTAGCAAAGGGCTGGAAATTGGAACTGGAACACCACTTAAGAAGTACACTTTTTGTTCTGGGGAAGGGAGCTACTTAGAATTGAACCAAAACACCCTAGCTGCTACTCAAGCTCTCTACGTGGAGGAAAACCCAGCCTCACTACATGCTAGCTATGGCTGATATTAGCGTTTCAGTTTCTTTCCAAAAGTTGCCTCAACATGTCACTTGCATCAATTCTACGTGCGATTTAACATGCCTGCCCCATGGAAGAAAGGCTGGGGAATCCAAAAATGTAAAGATATCCCCTGAAAAACGGGCTGACGGTGGCAAAACAAAAGGTTTTACAGGAGTGTTCTATGTTTCTTCATGTGTCATTATAAAAAAGGGAATTTCACAGGCTAAAATAATATTCAAAATTATAAAGCCATCTGTGAATAATGTTGAAACAAATACTTGAAAGTGATTCAACAAAATTTCAATTGACAAATGAGGTTTGAAAGGGTAATAAAGCTGTTTTATGGATAAAACAGGATTTAGCTGTTTTATTTCCCAAGCAAGTATATTTTCCATTGAAAAGAAACATTATTGTATAGTTGTTTCTATTTTCTTGAATTCTGCTCCAAATTTCAACCAAGACTCCTATGTCCTTAATACAAAGTTCCAACAATTGTGCAATTCAAACCCTGTCTATACAGCTTTTCTTGGGCTAGCTTGAACAGTCCATCTGTTTTGTTGTCCTATTTCACCTACATTAGCATTTTTCAAATGTGCTCCCTGATATAGTCATCAATACAAGGAGTGTTCCTGCTAGTGCATATCGTTAGTTCCTTCAAAACAGCAGCTGGCTCCTTGGTTAAAGCAGAAAGAACATCTATCTCAGATCAAAAATGAGGATATGTACAGTTGCTAAGCTGGAAAAGTTCCTAGCATTCCTATGTTCTGTTTTTGCCTGTTAATGTATTCATAAAGCCAAGATTTTTCAAGTGTCTCAGGAAGTCTACTTAAATTTCAAAACAGGCTTATACTCATGATATTTCAATAACAGCACTGTCCTTCTATAACTGGAATAGATGATCCAGAGAAACAAAAAGTATACTTAGTTTGACAGTAAGGACCTACCTCCAGGTAGAAAAGAAAAATTCCTATAAAACTGCCCAGCCATATAGGAGTGGCTATTCAATGCTGGATGACAGACTAAAGTCATCTCAATTACTATATTCTAAACTCTAAAATTTCTATTTGCTTCCTTTTATGGCTTTTATCTAGCTTCTGAGCTTTTCTCTAAGATTTTTTTTTTTTTAAATATGGCAATCTAACTGCATGTACCTGTGTGGAGAGGAGGGCATCAGATCCCACTATAGATGGTTATGAGACACCATGTGGTTACTGAGACTTGAACTCAGGACCTCTGGAAGAACTGCCAATGCTCTTAAACTGCTGAGTTATCTCTCCAATCTGCTTTTCAACTTTTTATCCTTGTGTTTTTTGTTAAATTATTTGTGTTCTCTTATATCTCAGTCAATATCCACAAAGATACTGTTTTGAATACTTTGCCAAAAACTTGTATATTTCCAAGTGTTTGAGTCAATTGCTAGGGTTTTATTACATTCCTCTGATGCAGTTAAGTTTCCTCATTTTAAGGTTCCTTTTGTCTTACATTGCTATTTGTTTATTTTTTAAAAACAGTCTATCTGTCTAACAGCTTGGTTACAATAGGAAAAGACAATTACCTAGGGAAACAGGTTATAGAAGCACCAATGAGGATTTAAAAAAAAAAAATAGAAAGATATATTGAGATTCAAAACATGGATCCAGAGCTATGAAATAGCACAGGGCTGGAGTTAGTAACATCAACAACTCCCAGTGTTTACTACGTACAAAAGCTTAGGTCTCTGCAGTAGTTGGCCTCCTCAACAGCAACTCTGTCCTATGCAATGCATGTGCCAGGTAAATAAGGGCCAAGGCAGCAAACAACAGGAGACAGGATTAAGGCCAGAGGCACACACAGTTATGGAATTTGGTTTGAGTACACATGTGACAGTAAGGGCTCATTCATAAGGACTACAGTACTGGTGGCATATGAACATCCAGTGACAATAACTGAGGGCAAGTTAGCCTATGCCTTGTAACTAAGGGAGATGGCCACAGCCAAATATTACCAAAATCCAGAGCAGGGACCAGAAACCCCACAAGCAGGTACATACAACAAGTCTAATAATTTTAACTTCAAAACCCTTCTAGCAAGTAGTTCTGTAACTTGGACAGGCCTCCCCAAGGAAATCTCCCAATGAAAATGGCAAATGATAAAACAAACTATACCTTTAAAAATTTGCAAATTATTCATGCACTAGATTAGATAGTTTAGGAAAGACAAATACAAAAATAAATAAATAAATAAATAAATAAATAAATAAATAAACTAACCTTTTGGGATTCATTAGACAGAACAACAAACAAAAAAAATCTATTGAAAACAGCTCACTAACTTATGGTTATTATTTTATAAAAAGCTCACCCTTTCCAACAACTTTTGAAGCTTTAGTGTCTTCTCCTCACGTAGTTTTTCCCTTAACTGCTGAGCTTTCATGTGCTTCTCTTCATATTTCTTCTTAGATTCTGCAATAGTCCTGTTAACACAGACAAATGAACAAGAGACACACATGACAAGGTTAAATCAGAGATCTGTGGACTTCAAAAATCTCAATACATACAAGATGCATCTCAGCCTAGTGCTTGTCATCTGAATAAGTATGAAATGTCCTAATATAAAATGCTGAAAATAATCACAGAACAACTCCAGGTAATAATCAAGATTTCTTTCCATCAAGCATTTCAAGAGAATTTTCAAAGGTCAGACCTTTTACGAGATGGTGAAGAAAGTTTTTCATGCATGTGAATTCCATGCCCTGGAAGTCTAGCTGGCTCTTCTTCTACAATATCCCCCCAGGATGTATTTTGACGCCAAGATTCACGAGCTAACAGGGGAAAAAATAAAGTAAAACAAAATTTGGAAAAAGTTGCTGTTTAATCATGTACTTTAAAGCTAACTTTGAGATTTTTTTTTTTTTTGTTAAATATGCATCTGTGTATATGCACATGTATGTGGAAACTGAAGGACTACTGTGGGTGCCATCCTCAGAAACCTCATCCACAGGATCTGTTACTGACCTGGAGTTCACTAAATTAGGCACTGCTGCCTGGCCAGAAAGCCCAAATATATACCTCGCTCCACTTCCCCTTGCTGGTTTCATGAGCGCCAACAACCATGCTTGGCATTTTTACTTGGGATTTGGGGACAGACCCCTCCACTGCGCAAGCTTATAAGGCAATCACTTTACTTACTGAGCTATCTCCAAATAAACATGACTTGTAAAAGCACTTATAGCTCAAATTATTTTACCTAAAAACTGCATGTAAGAAAATCTAGAGTATCCCATTATGACTACGAAACTCAAAGACATATACACACAATACCTTCATAATCTGCAAGAACATCATTCCAATCCATAGACATACCACAGAAGGATAGACTCCCACTGCCCATGCTAGCCTAGAATGTAACAAAAAGATGAAAAATAATTTTTGCATATAATATTATAAACTTTAAAATGCACTACATATAAAATTCTATCAACTTCTAATAAACTTCACTGAACCAGACAAATGAACAAAAACAAAACTAATTCCCTTATACAGTCATAATTACCAAGTTAAAATACCCAGACTATGTATTTTAAGAATTCACTAGCCACTTATAAGAATAAATTAATTATATTTCAAAACAAGTAAACTCGTCTTACACAAAGCCTATGTTGGAATTCAAAATTATTTGATAGTAATTATTAGAAAAATGAAATATAAAACATATGGTTGCTTTATTCAATAAATCTCCACCACCAACAAGTATAACCTTAGTACTTAGCAACAAAGCAATACATCATTTGCTATTAATCAGTAAGCTAAAACAAGAATACAATCTTTAGTCCCTAGATATTAACGTCTGAGAAATAAAGTTCTGGATTTCTGACAGACACAATTTCTTGATTTGTAAAATGAGAATGAGAACTTCTTACTAAAACTGCGTCATGTATGAAAATACTTTGTAATAAATAATTTTAGAAGAATGATTTGCTACACTACCACAATAAATTTTACTATCACTCAAGATTTTAAGATAATAAAAAGCTCACGGAAAAATCACTGTCATTGTCAGTCTCGATGCTAATGTCATTGTTTTCTTCAGCTTCGATCTCTCTAGTTAACTGCTCTTCTTCAGCTATGGCGCTGGCAATGGCTTCTTCATTCGCCTTCTCTAGGCGGTCTGCTAGCTCTTCTTTTTTAGCGAGAACTTCTGCCATAGACTGTAACATTTTTAAAAACAACAAATAGGGCAGAATCATGAAACACTAATGCATCTTTCTGTGGTAATTATAAAATAAATATACATGTGAAATATATATATATATTATATGTATATATATACATATTCATATACATACATATGTGTGTATATAGTAGATAAGATATATAGATATATAGATATCATAAAAAATGTTGACTTAGAATCAGAAAACCTGGATCCAATAGAAGCTCAAGCAGTATGACTTACAAAGTGCATGAAGCCAAGGGCTTATTTTATTGCTCCATAAAATGCAACAACAATCCATATCTGACCTTCTTTACCAGACTGCTCTGTATGAGAAACTGTGACATTATGTAAATAACAGATATTATCCATGGAAAAGTGGGAATTTCATCCGAATGCCTAAATCCAAAACAGCTGCAGATAAAATATTTTCCTTTAAAATGAAACAAGGATAGTATGCTATGATAGGAGCATACAAAGAATGTAGACTATGGAGGTGATTATATAATTTGAATATATTTTGATAACCTAAAAATAATTATAATCAAACAATATGACTGAGAATTATCCATTAATAAGAATTATGAGTATCTCAGAATTTATACTATGAACCCAAAGGCAAACACTAAAATAACAAAATTAAGATTTATGCCTAATAAACCAACAAATGATATAAAACAGAATTTTTAAAAGCAATAGATGAAACAATACACACATGACTCAAAGGGAAACAAATACTAAGCTGATAAATTGTAAACAAATCACATTACATGTAGTCTAAATATCATTAGTTAACCAGCCAAGACTGTCAAACTGGATCAAGAGCAATAGTCAACAATGTTTCTCATAAGAAACTTAAAGATAGAGCTTAAAATTAATTATAATAATGATGATGATGATGATGATGATGATGACAATGACGACAACAAAAACCCTGAGATAGGAAGCAAGTAGACAATGATCAAAAGGAGCTGTAAAGAGTAAGGGTGAGAGGTAAATGATATAATTATATTTTAAATTCCAAAGAAAAAAAACAACTGAGGTAGTCACAGCAAAGACAGATTGCAGAGCAAAACCTATCACTAGAAACAAAAAAGGTCATTTCATGAAGGGACAATTTATCATGAATGCAAGTCTCTTAAAATCTAATGAAATCAAGAGAGTTTCAAATTACATGAGGCAAAGCCTAAGCTAAGATCTAAGAAACAAACAAACAAAAATGTTAACTACTTTAGATTAAAAATTGACAGTTCTCTAATGGTTAAGCATGCAGGTTTGATCAGATTTGCATATCAAATATACATCAAAACCTGTATGTAGATACTTAAGTAGTCATTCATAATATCTAATAGCCAAACAATAAAAACTAATTGTACAACTGAAAAACAGAAAGTACAGTATTGCATATCCATACAATGAAATATAATTTTGTCATAAAATTTAATAAAAACTTAAAATAACCTAAAACATGGATATGTCTTTAAAGCATTAAGTACATAAAAGAAAATAATACTGTATTCTATTTCTGCAATGTCCAGAACAGGCAAGGAAACAGATACAGAAGGCAAGTTAGCAGGACAAGGATGGTAGTCAGTTTCTTTGAGAGGAATGACATTTTCTCACCTATATGGTAATGGGCAAATGAGTCTGTGAATATATTTTAAGAGCATTTCATTATAATCTTTAAATGGATAAGTTATGTTATACAAAGTATAATTCAATCAAATTTTCTAAAAGCTTCAGTTACATTCAAAGAGGTCAACACCTTTTTATAATGACAGAGCATGAAAACAAAAAATAATACTGTAAAAGACACAAAAATATTATCAACAAAATAGAACTAGATATTTTTACAAATGAAATGAAAATACATGTTTACACAAAGATGCATGCTAGGACTAAGGATATGGCTCAATGGCAGAACACTTGCCTAGAATGCACTTACCCAGAAGGCCCTGTTTCAATCCTTAATACTGTCCCCTCCCAAATATACACAAATATTCATGTCATTTCTAGCCAAAACAAAAACTAGAAGCAACCTAGGTGTCTATAAATAAATGAATGAACAAACATTGCGTTGTGTACACAAAACAAGCTACCACTGAAGCTGAAAGGGCAGTGGACTACTACACACACCTCATGGATGAACTTAGAAACAACTACACTGCTTAAAGATGACAAACAAAGAACGTATGACTTAATTTATATAAAATTCTCAAAATATAAACTTCAATAGGTTACAGGAGAAGAGGAAGGCAGGAAAAGCAGGACTGGGAGGAAGGTTGTGGAGAGGAAAGTGGGAGCTTTGAGTAGCACTCACTGTGTTCAGGACCTCGGTTATAGTGATGGTTTCATAGGTATAAGCACAGGTAAAAGTACATCAGTTTGTATACACTAGAAGGCTACTAAAGATCAATTATAACTCAGTAAAACTATTTCGAACTGAAAATACTTAAACCCTAGGTTTTAAGTAATTAGGAAAAGAATCTACACATCTCTATTTTTTATTTTTTTTTAGACTTCCCTTTATCATTCACTAACAGGTTCCCTTCAAAATAAAGAACAACAACAAAACAAAAGAATTCACAGAGGTTGTCCCGAAGGAATAAAATGAGTTAGGAAGTTTATAGACTATTATTGTGCATCATACATTCTTCCTAGAAGCCTAAAAGTCCTACAGAAAGTAGCTGTTCTTAATGTGCCACATAGCATAACAATACCTAAATTCCAAATATCAAAAAGAGAGTGTGTGTGTGTGTGTGTGTGTGTGCGTGCGTGTGTGTGTTTGCAAAAGATAAGTTAGTACATAAATATACTGTTACCTCATTGTCTCAGTCAATTTTATATTTACTGAAATACATTTCTATTTGAAACATAAAAATCTGAAGATTTATCCTATACCAAAGCTTATGAATGACACACTAATTCAGCATCCATACACTTTGTATCAAGTGGTAAAACACAAATAACTAGCCAGAGAGTAGTGGCACACACCTTTAATCCCAGCACTTGGGAAGCTGAGGCAGGAGGATCTCTGTGAGTTTGAGGCCAGCCTAGTCTACAAAGAGTTCCAGAACAGCCAGGCCTGTTTCACAGAGAAACTCTGCCTCAAAAATAAATAAATAAATAAACAAATGGTACAAATAATTTACTATTATTTTAAACAACTCAGAAAATTTGAAAAGTTATATTCAATTTTTTAAAGTTCATTACTAGAAGATACAAGAAAAGAAAAATTGTCCAACCTTGTTAAAGGAGCCAAAACGTTATTTTTGTTATTGTTGTCATGTTCATTTCTTTTTCTTCACTTAAACATCCCATTTCAATTTCATACTATATTTACTGTGGCTATCTCTTTAAGATAAAGAACTTTACCTAATACTATTATATACAATTGTTTTTTAAAAAATAAAATGAGGGATCCAGGAAATGGTTTATTTGGTAATGTACCTGCCACTCAAGCATGAGGACCTGAGTTCAGTTGTCTAGCACACACACAACTGTGGCACAGCAGTACATAGCTGTAACCTAGAAGGAGGGGTATGGGACAGAGGAGTGATAGAAACAAGCACATCCCTAGAGTTTACTGCCTAGGTATCCTAGCCATCCTGGGAGTTCCAGGTTTATTAAGCCTCCCTGTCTCACTTAAAGAGGGGAGCAACAGAGGAAGACACACTAACACTCACTATCAGCCTGCACATATATGTGCATGCAAACCATACTATATATATATATATGTGTGTGTGTGTGTGTGTGTGTATATATATATATATATATAATACATACTTACACAAAGGGAAAGGTTAAAATGTGTTTACATGTGCATTATGTGCCTATGTAATATATATATATGTGTGTGTGTGTGTGTGTGTGTGTGTGTGTGTGTGTATATATATATATATATTCAAAATGAAAAAAGTTAGAAAATAAAATTTGAATCATGGTGTATCTCATTTATATATGTGCCCACTTCTTAAAAAAGAAACAATGAAGGAAAGCTAGTTAAGTGGTACTTTGGATCAGCCTTGGGGTGAGGTGTAATATACTAAAATGAGAAACAGGAATAGATGAGCAGAAATTAAATAATCATACAAAAACATAAAACTACAGATGATCAATGCATTTTCAAAGATTTGAGACTAAAGATAAATAAATGCCAACTTAAAGACCAACTCCAACTGGTTCTGAAGGCCCACTCCTACAATCCTAGCACAATCAGTACTTCAGTGTCATCCTCAGCTACATAACAAATTCAAGGTGACAGTGTAGAAAACCTTGACTGCCAAAGTATAACCAAAAGCAAAGCAAAAAAAACAGCAGTCGTCCTTTCCATCTATGGGAATGCCAGATGTTGAAGAAAAAGGCTTTACTGGTATATAGTTAGTTCTCTTTGCCTTTCTGATTCTCATTTTATTTATTTAACTGTGTGTGTGTGTGTGCGCGCGCGCGCGCACAGGGTTGGTTGGTTTTTTGAGACAGGGTTTCTCTCTGTAACCCTGGTTATTCTGGAACTCTCTTTGTAGGCCAGGCTGGTCTCCAACTCAAAGAGATCAGCCTGTCTTTGCCTCCAGATTACTGGGATTAAAGGTGTGTGTCATCACTGCCCAGCTAGGTTTGGTTTCTTAATCCTGGACTAAAATGCATTTGATCAAATCACATATAATCTGACTCTGAACCATTATATATTACCATTTTAACTGTTATATTACCATTTTTGTCCCGAACAAATCAGTAAGAACCTTAACTATAGAAAAATATTACTGTAAGAAAAAAGTTGAAATGAAGTGACATAAAATGCTTTATAAAACCTGTTTTGTAAAGTATAAAGTTATAATAAGACCAATATTATTGACGTTTATGCCTTTTTAATATAGTTGTACAGAATTCTGATAAGTTGTTCTTACCAAGTCAGCAGCACTCACATTTGAAATATCTGAAGGGTCTGTCTCATTCACTATTCCTACTTTGTCTGCCAGAACTCTGTCTTTATCTGTTGGCAAAGCTGAGGTGGCTTGTTGAGTAACAGCAAGGCACACGGCATCACTGTGAACAGCTGGTATTTCAGAAGTATGCACTGAACTGTCTTGACTACTACCAGAATTCTTGACATCATCCAATATACTCACTGTGAACTAAAAACATATACGTTTAGAATAAACCAGAGACAATTTTCAAATGTACCAAATATTAGATTTTGTAAAAGCTAGTTATGCTTAATCTATCAACTGTGAAGCAGCACTTACCTGTCTAAAAGAAATCTCTCTCTCTCTCTGTCTCTCTCTTTCTCTGCATGCCTACTATGTGTTGAGTATCATTTACTCAGAAATATAAATTGCAACATTTCCTTTTAGTAGACTGGCTTTTATTTATTTTGAACATTTACTTATTATATATGTTTGCATGTGTACACATGTACATACTTGTATAATCAGAGGACAACTTGCACGATGGATTCTCTACTTACACTATGTGGGATCTGGGTATTAAACTCAGGTCACTGGGCTTGGCAGCGAATACCTTTATTTGCTAAGTCATCTTATCAGCCAGCCCTAGTAGGCTAGTTTTTAATGGACATTTAGATTTCTCACAAGGAAATCTAGTCACACTCATAATACTACTAATCACTGGATTTATTTAACCAAAGGTATTATGCAGTCATTTGTAAACTGTCTAATATCAAATGGAAAGAACCAGCACTGAAAATATCCTGAAATCATTTCTTACTAAAATATATTTTAGGACAGTTTACTTAAAATTATCAAACTTGTCCTCTTTAAAACATGACTTCATAAATCTTTGAAATTTTGGGAAAAAAATGAATAAGACACCCTATAGTGGACTCAGGAAAATAGACTAAGCAATAGAACACATTTAAATACCCAGTGTGACTCCTCATACAAATCATGAACTTTAGATTTAAATGTCTCCCATTCCCCCCTGTATAAGAGTAACTTACACACAACCAATAGAAATGTGAAAATACAAAATGACAGTAGCATTGGCTTAGACCACCTATATATCCATTTTTAAATCTAATTTAGTAAATATAACCAAGTCTATTTTCACATTCCAATAGATTTTAAGAAAATATTGTTTTATGTTTCAATTTGGGTTAAAGAATTAAAACCTAAAATTGTAAATTTAATACTCACATCATTTCTAAATAAGCACTGATAAACACTTCAGTGGCCATAAAGCTCCAAGTTTAATGAACTGTTTCTAAAATATAAAACTTGGCCAAGTCTCACAAGCTACTCTAGACATACTACTATTGGTCAGAACTTAACATCCAAAGTGCTGATATTAACATAAACATCATTTAAATTGGATCATACTGTTTACAATGTTATCAACATTATTAACCTGTCAGTCACCATGGTTTGTAATCTTCTTGACAATATTTACATTAGCATTACTGATGCTTACAGCATAGTTGACTGTTTATCAAAAACTCAGTATTATTTATCTAAGAAATCAAAGCTAAACATAAAATAAAGTTGAAAAAAAGATATAAATATCCTAATTCCATTTTCAGAGTGACAGTGAAAAATATGAATACTGTTCTCACAGACTTCCATCAGAACTAACTTCTCACACTGTAACATTATGGCAATGTTTGAATTACTCAGAAAGTCTCTGAACTATTCTTGAAATCTCAAAACTCAAATATATTTACATCAATATACAACAAATGTCATTAATTTTCATAAGGTTATAATTTTAAGTAAGACACATCAGTAAAATTCCTGATGGTATGTAAAATTAAAAAGTTATTTCTTCCCAGACATGATGATGAATGCTTAGAATCCTAGCAAGAAGAACATGGGGCTCACAGGTTACATCCAGTGTGGAGCCTAACTCAAAAGCAGCAAGAGCTGGGCATTGTGCCCCACATCTCTGGTCCTAGCACTCAGGAGACAAAGGCAAGTGAACTTCTGTGAGTTCCAGGGAAGCCTGGTCCACATAGTAAGTTCCAGAACCACCAGAGTTATGTAGTGAGACTCTGTTTAAAATAAAAGGTATAAAGATAGGAAAGTAGGAAGGTAAAGAAAGGATAGAGAGAGGAAAGGAAGAGAGGGAGGGAGGAAATAAGAAACTGAAAAGAGAGGTAAAGAGGGAGGAAAAGAAAAAAGGAAGATTTCTTCACTAAGGATCTCCAAGTATTTGAGTTTCTTAAAAGTACATCCAATATATATATACTATTTTCTACATGTCTAAGGCTCTTACACGTTGTCTCAAATTAGAACACTATGTAAGGTATCACTTGAAGAAGCTTGAAATATCACAAAAACATAAAACATATATAGTGAATAGTTCTAGCACATCAAGAGTACTGTAACATTAGAGCCTTGTCATTACCAAGTTTGGTAGTGCACACCTGTGTGGCTCCAGAGGCTCAGAAGGCTGGGAAGAGGATCACAAGTTCAAAATCAGCCTGGGCTACAAAGTAAAGCCAAGGCCAACCCGAGCCCCTGAGGAACATCTTTTCTTAAAACAAAAGATTCTTTTTTAAAAATGTAGCGCAGTGATAGAGCACTTGCCTAGCATGTGCATGATCCCATAAGTCTCATTTCCAATACCAAAAAGGTAAAAAGCAAAAGAAAAAACAGCAAGACCAGGAAGTTAAGAATTATTTTCAATGAGGAAAATATATTTTGTACTTAAATAGTAGACATTCTAAACTGAAAATATTACAACTACTTTTTGATTCATTAAGATACTTCTGATCTCATGGAATATGTCATTATTACTTTTACATAACAATTATAGCAAATTAATGAATAATTATATATAAATACCTAAGAAGTGTATGAGTTCTTAAGTAAAAAAGAAAAAATACTGGGAATCTTAACTTCAAAAACAATACTTAACATAGAAAAATTTCAGTATCTCAATGTCATTTTTTAATGAAAGTAAACCCCCCCAAATGAAGAAAGAGCCAATTAATAATAAACCTTGTCAAATTACAATAATTGTGACATTAAATGAAATCACTTTACTTCTGTCATAACAGTATAAAACAAACTGAACTATAGGCAAAGAATGAATACACAAAGAACACTGCTTACAAAACAAAATTTAAAAAGCTGCAATGAGTTCTTCCAAACACTTCAAGTCATGAGAGTCTAAAAATGATGAGGAACTGTCCTGATGAAAAGCAGTAAAGAATGTTTGCATGGTGGTGCACACCTTTAATCCCAGAAACCTGGAGGCAGAGACAGGCCAATCTCTGTGAGTTTGAGACCAGTCTGGTCTACAGAGCTAGTTTCAGGACAGCCAGGACTACACAGATAAATTCTGTCTCAATTAAGAAAAAAGAAAGAATGGAAGGAAGAAAGAAAGAAAGGAGGGAGGGAGGGAGGGGAGAGAGGGGGGAAGGAAGAAAAGAAAATGGAAAAGAAAAGAAAAAAGAAGCAAAAGAAAAGACATGACAGTAAAGAAATAAAACCATTCTGGAAACATATAATCTACAAAGACAATCAGTAGAGCCATGCATAATAACATATTCCTGTAGTCCCAGAACTCAGGAAACTGAAAACAGGATGATCAGAGGTTTGAAGGCAGTCTGAGCTACATAGCACGACTGTCTCAAAAATAAAGAGGAAAACAACAAAAGCAGCCAGTCATGAGAGGATGTAACTGTAACATCAATCCCTGAAAGGCTGAAGCAGGAGGACAGTTAAGTTCTAGGCCAGCTACATGGTAAGACCCCCTATCTCTAAATTATAAACATACGGGTGGGCAAGATGGCTCTAACCTGAGTTCAAAACCCCAAACCAAGATGGTAGGAGAAAGCCAACTCTCCTAAGTTGTCCTCTGACACACATAAATAATAAGTGCAATCTAAAAATAATAATAATAATAATAATAAGCCTTTGCATTTTTAACATAACACTAAAAATGTAATACAATTGTTTGGTTGGAACCTCCAGCTTACCCCTGCATGATCCAGAAAGCCCCATTCTTGTCTCTTTCTCCAAACACCCCACTCAGTGAATCTCCTAACAAAGGAGCCAAAAAGCCCAGTTCTTCATTCTTGGCTACTACAGCAGCTTCCTCCCCTGAAGTTGTTAGCTACCCAAGTCCCTTCCAGAAGTGCCCAAATAATTGGGGAAAAATCCAGCTAGTGGTGATCACATCACCACTCCTTGCTACAACCCATGAAATCTCTCTGCTTTCGTTTGTGGGCACTTCTCTGGTCTCCATCTCTGAGACTGGAGAACCGGCCTGGAGGAGTTGCTTTACTCAAATAAACCTATTTTAATACTTCATCAAATTCAGCTTGAATTGGCTTACTGTGTTGGCAGAGAAACCTATTATTGAGGGTGGGAGCAGAAAACTCTATTAACAACAAAAACTTGAATACTGACCATAAATGAGATAATTTATATAAATGTTAAATTCACTGAACTTCATATTATATCTACATAAAGAATATATCTGTTCTCAGAAGATACATGCTATGATGTAAAGTAGATGGCTTTGATGTTGACACATTAATCTCAGTATATAGCAAAGTATAGACAGACAGACATGCAGACAGTGAAAAAAGAAAATGTAATAAACATTAATTGGGATTCTAAGTAGGAGGTAGATTCACCAATCTAATCTTAAACTTCTCTTAAGATAGAAGCTTTTAAAAATGAAGATGTCTTTGAAAATGGCAGTGAGGGTTTTCAGAACACATTACCTGAGTTCTCTCAGCGAGGGGACGGTCGGAAGGATGGAATGAGTCTTTGGATGGAGATTCAACAACAGAAGGTCTATCATCAACAAGATCACCCTTCTGTGTCCTTTCTCCAGGTAAAAGGCATACGTTTTCCTTATCACTGTCATCCTTTGACTTTACAGTTTCTGTCACTAGTGAAACCCTTGGCATCACTGCTGTGGATCGGGGACGAACTGGCCTTCCTCTCTGAACAGTTTCCCATCCTTCAGCATCTTTCCGTTCTAAGCAATTAAGGGAAGAAAATAAATCAAAATTTTTTTAGATAATAAAACTATTGGGAAACATAAAATAGAAATGTTTTCCAATCTCATTTCATTAATTTCTCCTTCCTCATTGTTTTTCCTAAAATATTTTAAGGCAAATTCTACACAGTCTTTTTTTTTTTTTTTTTTTTTAACAGAAAACATCTTTAATACTGTTAGTATACACAACAAAACTAATAATGCAATAAATCATATCAATTCTATATTCAATTTTAGTCAAAACATAGTCTGTTATTAAGTATGTTCTGTTTATATTTAAGTATAATGCAAATTAAAAAAGAAATCATAAAATGAATAAGAATCACACAGGAGAAAAACTGAATTATAAAATTAAAAGAGTTTAAAAAAAGATTTCATTTTCCAGTTAATTTAACCAGTTCCTCTTCAAATCATGATGATTAATCACTTAATTCTTTAAAAGAAAGAAAAACACTATTGAAAACTTGGACCTAATCCATTAGCTAAAAGAGCCAACACAAATACTGTCATATAATTAAACAACTGACTCAAGTAAAAAGTAGTATTTCAAAATAAAAACTATACCAAGGTCTCTTAGAAACAAAAAAAAAACAGTTATAGACAAATTACATCTTCAATGAACCTTCAGTGAAAACTATATTGATGAATTATTCCCATAATAATTAATGTGTAAGAACAGCAAATCATACATTAAAAACTGAGCCACTCTAAACAGAATATTAGAACAAAACTAAAAAATTAAAAACTAGAAATTACACTTCCTTTCACAATTTTAATACATACATATATATAAATTTTCCAACATTATGAATTTCATTAATAAAGTTATACTCAATTTAATTCAATACACTAATTGAAGAAAAACTGCCAACCCCACCCCCCACCCCCACACACCCCACACACACACCACCACCACCACCCCACCGCTGTGATGCCATTACTTATCACAACATTCAGTTCATTAGTGCTTGATTAGAATATTTATATTAACATTCAAGAGACAACCTTCCTGTAATTCACGTTAGGTCTTGATGTTAAGATTATGCTAATATCATAAATATGACCTTTTTCCCTTAGAACAAATTTTCATAGTCTTGGGTTTTTTTTTTGTTTTTTTTTTTTTTTACAAGTTTAGAGGAATTTACAGATACAGCCATCTTGACCTAGAATCGGTCTTTGTGAAAAAGTATTTCAGATTCACATTTTTTTCATTATGGTTATAAAGTTCAAGCTTCTCTAATTCTTCTGATGTAAATTTGAAGTTGTATTTTAAGAACTTTGTTAATTTCTTATGTTTTTCCAAATCTGAGGTATAATACTGTTTATAATACCCTATTACTATCTTGTCAATACTGGCACATTCTCTACAACATTCCCTATCCTTTTTTTTTTTTTCCTTTCATCAGTATTATTAGAGTCTGGTCCTTTTGTTCATCTATTTGAAAAAAAAAAATGCCTTTTAACTCTGTAACTACTTATTTTTCGTTTTAAGTTTCTGTGGCTTAACCTTTTCTTTTGCAAATGAAAAAATGGGGGGAGACTTTAGTTTCTCTTATTTATCTCTTAAGTTCTTAAACATTCGCCTTCATTCAATTCACTTTCTCAACTTTTCAAGGAGCTGTCCTTTCTGGCATTATTCAAAAGTAATTCTTCAGAATTATATAGCTATCTTTTTTCAATTTGCTTCTAACTTAATTCCATGTGATTACTGACAAAATGCATTTTATTTCTATTTTATGAAGGGTGTGCACTTATCAGAGGACAACTTTCAATAGTTGGTTCTCTCTTTCTACCATGTGGTTCCCAGGATTGAATTCAGGTCATCAGTTTTGGCAGCAAGTCCTTTACAACTGAGCCATCTCACCAGCATGCCTCACCTCTCAAATGATTTAAATCACCTGAAATCTCCTAAGACTTTCTAACAACACAGCATGTTTTAATTTCAATGTACCCATGCATATGTTTTTAGGCTTAATAGGTCAGGCCTTTGAAAAAAGAACTTGAATGAAAACTGACCTTTTTCTTGCTAAAAACAGCCATAAAAATTAGACAAAATATATAAACAAGCTGCTTAAAACACTGGAAAGCAACCAGCAAAAGCATGTCTTGAGGAACTACAATTCCTGAGTAAAGGGAATGGCAGCATCAGACCTACATTCACCTCAGCATTTTGACTGAAGACATTTGGGATTGAGAGAGAGTCCACTAAATTGAGTACTATCGAAAGTCAGCATTCCCAGCTGGTTTAAACAGACATTAGAAGCCAGAGGCAAAGCAAAAAAAAAAAAAAAAAAAAAAAAATCTGCATTCACTCTTCCCCAAGGTGCCTGACAACTCCCCAGCTTTTCACATACAAGGCAAGACTCCAAGAAAGCAACAGAGAGCAGCAGCTGGGATCTTAACAAGCTAAGAAAAAAACTGAAGCAATTGTACAATGCTGGGAAACAAAAACTAGAACTCAAGGATATAATGGGTCTTTTGAGTATGCCATGGTTTTCAATGGAAATCTCAAAAGGAGTAATCGACCTAACAATTTCAAACCAAACCCCGATAGGATTAGAAGCACAAGATCCTGCTTCTTTATCATTTTTCCAGACAGGAGAACAATCTATAATCCTGTGTGTTTCAGGGGGTGGGAGTAGGGGCGAACAAGTGTGTGTGTGTGTGTGTGTGTGTGTGTGTGTGTGTGTGTGTGTGTGTGTAAGGGGGGAGAGATATGCATGTAAGTCAGAGGTTGTGGATGTCTCCCTCTATTACTCTCCATATTTGTTTTATTACCTATGTTGTCTATGCATGGTGCCCATGGCAATTCAGAGAACCAGTGTCAGGAGTCAGTACTCTCCTTCCACTATAGAACCTAGAAACTGAACTCAAGTCATCAGGCTAACTGCTATCCAGGCCTAAAATTCCTCAATAGCCTAATTGCTGTGGCTATAGCTACTACCACTACATTGCTTGTTACTGTTGTGGCTGCTACCACCATGACAACCACTGTCACTGTCCCCTTCTCATATTACCTACCAGCTTGGTCCATTGGTTATAGGGCCTGGAAGGGGCTGGGATATAAACATAGAACTGTATATATTTTTGCACCATTCAAAATACTGTCCCAACTTCCACACCAGTCTCAAGTCTGGCATAAGGTTCAAATGGAGGCTTTGAATTTACAATTTGTCAGGGCCTTCTATTGAAGGGGAGGGGTAATTTATTCTTCCACCTGTAATGAAAGTTGCTTCAGCTTAAAAGACCACCAGCTGAAACTGGTGCAAGTTATCTGAAGCAGCCATGACTAGCGCAGTACCTTCTGATAAATAGGAGTTACAGCTCCAGGTACTGTGGTCCCTATTGCTGGAATAAAGCATACTTGAATGGCAGGTGATGATTTAAAACAGCAGACTGACTTACAACAGTACCTCCATGTGCCCAGGGTTGTTCATCAGCTGCACACTTGAAGCAACATACATTAAACAACTCTGACAACTGCCTCTTGGGAGGTTGAGTGGTTACTTCTAAACAGTTCAAATTATTAAAAGGGGAAAACTTCAAGAAATAGCTGTATTAACATTATACCAGTATTCTTAACGGTCCTTAACAGGACCTCTCCCTACTGTATTGAACATCATTTAACTTCCTATCAAATATCCTTAAGGATGGATGAATACGGCCCAGGAGAACCTCTTTTAGTACAAAAAGCTATTAGGGAAAACAATCTTTTAAATATTTGAAAATGACAATGGAACCAGGATGTATCCCTAGTGCAGGAAAGGACTTTAGGAGCCCATTCCCCATGGAGGGATACTCTCTTATCCTAGACACACAGGGAAATGATTTGACTGACTTTGATGATCCCTCATTGATGGCCTCACCCTCCCTGGAGAGTTTGGGGGGGGCATGGGAGGATAGGAGGTAGAGGGAACTGGGATCAATATGTAAAATAAGAAAAAATATTAAAAGTAAGAAAGAATTTGAAAATGAACAGAATATAAAATGCCTCAAACATTCAAATGGTTGAAGAGATGGTTTACTGTACTGATTGGATTAATCAATGTACACACATGGACTGAAATTAACCACAAAAAGAATGACCCATTTTAAGAATTAGGAAAACATTAAATAGAGAAATAAAGAGGAGGTCAGAGAGCTGAAATCTACTACAACCTATTTTAAAGAAAATGCATATAGTTCAGGTATTTGTGTTTTTTCTGTTGTTAGACTTTTTGTTGTTGTTTTTCCGGGTACAGATGTTTCAACACAGCTGTAATAAGAGTGGAAAGATGGGAAAGGCCAGTGGATGCTGGAAGCTTTTTTATTTTTAATTGATTCCAAAACTGATGTCACCCAAGCATAAGTACACATCTGTGAGAAAGTTGACTTTCACCTGGGCATCTGAGATTTTCTATGGTTTTATCACAAATGTGTAATTCAACATGGATTTATATTTGTTATTATATTCTGGTACTACCACTTAACTCTAGTTGGATAGCATTTTTTAAAGTCCAATACTACTTTTTCAAAACCCATCAATACTTCACAAAATTTTAAAGTTTTTTGTTTGAGAATTTCATACATTTATGTAAGGTGTTTTGGTTAAATCTACTCCTATTCTCTCCACTCTAATTCCTCATCTACCCATCTACTTTCCCTCCTGATTTCATGTGCCCTTTTGTACTAGGTCCACTTAGGACATGACTAGTCATTGCATGTATTTACTCATAACAGCTCTGACTGTTTACACAAGACTGGAACAAGATGAAAACAATCAAAGTCCTAGCTGCGGAAGGAGTTGATGAAACCCAGCCCTAGTTGACACATCACTGACAACTGATGGGAAATACCCTAGTTGACATATACTGACAACTGATGGGAAATAAAGTTAGTTTTCTTCAGGTATGTGGCCCCCAAGAGACTACCCATCCTCCAGTAGATGGTCCTACACCCATATTTTAATGATAAAAGGTAATTATGAATGTACCAGCTGGCTAATAGTTGATTATACATACAGAACAGATGACCAACAAGTTAGAATACATATCCATACCAACTAGTCAGACTGAAATATCAGAAGCAAAATGACATAAGGAACACATACACTTTGTTAAACATGTAACTATGTCAAGTTTGTTAAACATTTAACATTCAGTATCTTTACTGACTTTTGTTTACATACACACTCAGCTATTTCCACGAGCATGCTATGTCAGAAGTAAAGGAACATTGTGCCTTTCCACAATGTCAGAATTTATTGAGTACCAATAAATTCACAAGGTAGGTCAGTACAATTGGCAGGAATCTTACTGATAATCTCACTTTCTTTGATAGTCCTGACCAAGTCAAACAAATTTTTAATTGCAATTTTATTAACTAATATTAACTCTAAGGTAACACACACATTACACATCACACAATAAAGATACCTATCTGTATGTAAACAAAGTTACAAAATGGCTCAAAAGGGATAGGAAGCAAGGGATTTTAATCAGAGTTTAAAGAGGCCTGAGAAACCAAAACTTGAAAAGTGACAGGAATGCAAAGGACTCTATGCAGGAAGGAAATAAGGCAAAGTGGGTGGCAGAAGCAGCTGGGGGAGGGGGGCTGCTGTAACTACAAATCAGAGCTGAGCTGCAGAGTGCAGCACACCTGCTGAGACAAGAGCATAACCCAGTCAAACAAAGCAGTGTATAGACACATAATAAGTCCACATAGTGAACAGGAAGTCTTCATTTGGTCCAGTATTTCCTCGTTGTAGCCCTATTCCTCCATTTTGAAATGGTAACATATATTCTGTGTCACTGTAGGAAGTATGTAATTTGCTTTTTGATTTTTCAGGAGGTTACAATTAAGACTCTGCCTTGAGTCTCAGAACAGACTTGGACTCTGTTCTTTAAAATTATGTTGAGACTATGTAAGACTAACTTCTCAAATTGGACTAAATGCATTTTGCATTATGTTAAGGCCACAAGACAATGGAGGCCAGGGAGTAGAATGTGGTGTTTTGAATGAGATATCACCTGTATCTCAGGTATTTGAATACTTGTCCCTGTTTGGGAGCTGTTCGGGAAGGGCCTCAGTCCCAACCCCTACCATCCATGCATAAAGCTGGGTATGGTATCACAAGCCTGCTATCCACAGGAGGATCTCAGGGAATGGATGATCTGACTGTCTAGCCAACTGGTGAACTCTAAGTTCAATGAGAGGCCTTGTCACAAACAATGAAGTAGAGATCAATACAGCAACACACCTGACGTCAACTTTGGTCTCCAAAGATAAAAGAGACAGGAAGGAAGGCAGAGAGGGGAGGGGACAAATGAGAGGAAGAGAACACAAGAAGGGAGAGAAAAGAGAAAGAAGGAAGAAAATTTCACAGTGTAGTTTTTCTCTGCTTTGTATTTTATGTTATCAATACTCATTCTATTGTATCTCAAACTCCACAGTCATAACTGTTCCACGGTCCACACCACTGCTTTGCCACATTTACTCCTTCTGGGACTCCCTATTGGTTCAGGTGTCCTTCTGGGATCATTTTCCTTCCATCTCAAAAGCTTTCTACAGCATTTGAGCACAGATCTGTTGTTCACAACTTTCTAAACTCCCCCCCTCCAAAAAAAATAATATTAACTTGCTTATGTACCTATTCTTGGATATGTCTACCAGAATTCTAAACATATTGCTCCAATGTACTTAGCATCCACAGTTCCTCATGTAAAGTCAGCTACCTGTTGATCTTGCTTCCTTTGAAAATGGTATTTGTGTCCTCTAACTACTTGTAAAGAGCTTCTATTTCTTCAATTTTCAGTGTTTTTATTATATTACATTTAGATGAAATTTATTTTGTATTTTTCCTGCTTAGGATGGAGAGGGTTCCTTAAATCTAACACTTGATTTCTTTAAGCAGTTTGGGAAATTTATATCATTTCTTCTAATGCTGCTTGACAATATCCCTAAACTTTTTCATAGATTCCATGTATGTTCCCTCATGCTCGTCTCTTCATTTCTTTTCCTTTTTTTTTTTTTTTTTTTTTTTGTCTCTCTGGGCTAGCCCTGATATTTTATGCTATTTTCAGAATCAGTTATTGCTAAACTCCTCAAATGTTTTTCATGGCTGCTGCTAAGACAACCATTCATTAGGTATCTCAAGCTAGCCTGAACCTGCTACATAGACCAGACTAGCCTCTTATTTCATTCTCCTAGGGGGCATGATACCATACCTAGCTAATTTTAAATTTCTTAATATTAATTTAATATTAATATCTTCCTGAATTCTTCACTTTCAGAGCACTGTGATCAAGAAAAAAAAAATGTCTGGAGTAGCTGCTCTCATCCTGAGACTACCATCACCTTTGGCTCTCTATACTGTTTTTTACCAGTAGTAACAGGGTCTAAGGAATGTAAACCTTTTTTGAGACCTTGCATGTTTAATAGCATACTAATCTCTTCTCAGTTTTAATGGGTAATTTAGTTAGCCATCATCTCTAGAAGAGAAGTTAATTCTCTTTCAGAATTTTGAAGATTGTATAAATTTATTTGCAGCTTCTAGATGAATTGATGGGGCCAATAAATCTTTGATTTTTTCCCCCTCCATAACTGTAAGCTAAATAAACCTCTTCTGTTTAGAAAACACACACCCTCTGATACTATGCTATAGCAACAAAAAAGAATAGCACAGAACCCTTACCTACTGCCAATTTGCTGCTACAAGTGTAGCTATACAAAGAAATCAAGAACAATATATGAGGTAAAAGAAAAAAATAACATTTAAAATGAACCAACATAACTGAACACAAAATAGAAAAATAAAATTAAGTATAACTATAATACTACAAAAAAAGTTCAAGAGTCAACTTGGGGGGGGGGGCTGGAGAGATGGCTCAGTGGTTAACAGCACTGGCAGTTCTTCCAGAGGACCCAGGTTCAATTCCCAGCACCTACATGGCAACTCATAACTGCCTGTACCTCCAGTTTCAGGGGATTTGACACCTCCACACAGACAAAACATGACCACATGAAATAAAAATAAAATAGTCAACTTAGGGTGTCCTATATGATAGGGAAGCACTCTAACAAAAAATTACTTCATTACCAGCCTATACTTCATGATTATAACTAATGGTGTTCAATATGACATAGGTAAGTCTAAAATGTAAACATAAAAATGTATTAGGACCAATTTTTAAAATTATAAATACCCCTTTTAACTATAGGCATGCATACAAAACATGAATAAATAAAAATTTTAAAACCAATTAACCAAAATTCACTTGCCATTTTTGCGGGAAGTCTTTTGCACTGTTGTTGGTGCACAGGGTTGAGCAGATGTTACATCAGACGTGGCAGAGCCAGTATGATGAGCCTTTACCTTGTCTGCCCAACTGACACCTGTAGGAGCCAGACATGTGGCAGTTACTGTGCCAGGTAAACTCCTATTGAGAAAAGTAAACACATGTAATAAATTAAATATCAAAGTAAAAATTATGAAGTCATACCATTATAAAAGCCTAAGTCTTTCCTTCCATTACAAGTTTTTATTAATAGCAATGTGTGTTAACAAGTCATTCTTGACTCAGACTAAAACTGTTCCTTCTTCTTCTTTGTATATGTTTCTTTCATAAACTACAAACATGATGCTTCATTGGCAATATTCAATTTTGGTTCCTTGAAACTTGAGTAACACTAATATCTAAAGTTATTTTTTCCCAAATCTTCACACTATCCTATGTACTCCTTCTCCAGTCACTTTAGTAGCTCACATTTATCAAAAAAAAAAAAAAAAAAACAAGTCTGGAGTTCTTTTCCTTCATTAATTAAAGTATGATATCGTGGAAGTAAATTTATTAGCAAGCACTACAGATTCCTTAGATTTGAGGAGGCCTCAGCGCTGAGACCACTAAAGGGTTCAGGTTTTACTTAGGTTCAAGAAGTGGTGCTCATTCACTTCTTCTGCCACCAAAATTAGGAGCCCTATCTTGGTGTACTGACACAGAAACAGTACTGCTGGCTAGCTGGGATCAGGGTCGCTCCCAACGCCCTTTCATCCTTAGTGAAACAGGCAAAGAGAACCCATTGCAAGTAAGGAGACATGATCTTATCTTCCTCCACCTTTTCCCTTCCCTGGGCCTATGGCTTTGAAGATTCCCAAATCTTAATTTGTTTTTTCCAGGAAAGGTGACTCTTGTATACATACTAAATGGTTTACTTACTATTTGAATTTTCAGTAAAAATAATAAACAAAACCCAAGATTTTTTTGTTTGTTTGTTTTGGTTTGGTTTGGTTTTCGAGACATGATTTCTATGTGGCTTTGGAGTCTGTCCTGGAACTAGCTCTGTAAACCAGGCTGGCCTCGAACTCACAGAGATCCGCCTGCTTCTGCCTCCCGAGTGCTGGGATAAAAAGCGTGTGACACCACCTCCTGAGTACAAAATCCAAGATTTATAACTAACATTTCAGTTAATAAACACAACCCAAGCAGCATGAGATGTGGGTAGATACTAAAGGCAACTTATCAACCATATCAAAAAGTAAAAAGAAAATGCATTTATACAATAATGAACAGGATCACATAGAGAATAGCGTAAGAGCTTTATGCACACAGGCACTACCATGGCTAATACTGTCAAGTTGTCAGGATCTAGAATCACCTAGGAGACAACCCCCTGGGCATGCCTATAAGGAAATTTCTAGACAGGGTTAACAAGGATAGGATGACCCACCCAAATGAGGTCAGCACCACTGCATGGGTTAAGGTCTCAGACTGAATAAAAAGGAGAGATCAAGCATGTATTAACATTCATCTCTGTTTCAGGACTGCAGACACAATGTGATCAGTCACTTCACATTCCCTGCCATGGTAAGTTGTGTTCCATCCAACTTTATGCCCAAGTAAATCCTTCAAAGCTCCTCTAAATCGCTTTTGCTAGGTATTTGATAATGGCTATGAGAAAGGTAATTAATGCATTCATTAAAAGCCTCCAGAACTAAAATAAATCTGCATTATAAAATTCTTGAAAACAAACTAATGGACTGCAATAAAGAGCAAGTTCCCTTGTAAAGACTCTTTCATTTGGGAAAGCATATTTAGTTCTGTTATGCATCTTTTCCCACCTGCCTAATGTCCAAGTATCATATGATTCTTAAGTCTATCAACATTCACCAAAGGAAACACTATCTAGGAACAAAATCAACTTTTACTAAATGCCAGCTAGGGTATTAGGATGTTCAAGATACACAGATATGTCAAAGATCTTGCCTCAAAGATGATAATAGCAGAGAAAACAGACATTAAAAACTAAAATCCTGGGAGAATAAATTCAATTGCCAAAGTGTTCATAAAATCATGAGGACCCTTTACATACATGTGCAACTTCACATATGTCTATATACACATGAAAAAAAATCTAAAACCTAGCATGGTGATGGGCATGAGCAGTTGGGAAGCTAAAGAAAAATTATCAGTCTAAAGTGACTCAGTAGTATACAGTATGACCCTTGATTCAAAAACACTGTAGTGCTCTGAAAATGTAATAAAAATTAAGCATATCCAAGGTAATAATAGGTAAAAAGCAGCTGTTAACTATGAAATGGTGGGCGTGATAAGGCAATGTCAAGAATGATCAGGCTTCGGGGTCAGAGAAGGCTCTGTGGTTAAAAAAACTTACTACTCAATCAAGAGAACCACAGTTCATATTCTAGCACACTAGGAAGCTTACAAATGCCTGTAACTCCAGCTCCAAGGGATCTGATGCACTCTCTATGGGCACCAACACATACTCCGTGCACATACTCATACAGACATGCACATACACAAATAAATAAAATATCAATCTTTAGAAAAAAGGAAGATTAGGCAATACAGGAAAGAGAACTGATAAAGCAAGCACTTGCCAACCTTGCATTAAATATATACATTAAGGTTTATGTTAAAGAATTAGAGTAAAAGTATTTGCTTTAAAAGTAATTTTCCCACCCAGTCATGGTAGCATATGCCAATAATATCACTTGAGAGGTGGAGGCAGAAGAACCATGAACTTAATGTCATCCTCAGCTGATTAGCAAGTCTGAGACTGTGTTGAAAGACCATTTTAGAAGTCATGAAATTAGCAATGATGACAACAGGTACAATACTACAAAGATTAACACCAATATGTAGGGCTTCCACGTTTTATTTAAACTATCTAGTTTTCAACAATGAAACAAATGAAAATCATACACATGAAAAAAATACACAAAACATTATGACCCATGTATAGAAAACAGTAACAGAATTTAATAGACATAGCTTTAAAATCAGTTGGTATAAGAATACCATGTAAAGAATGTCAGCAATGAGAAAATAAACATAAAAGAACAACACATACAGTCTGGAGTTGAACAATACTCTAACTGAAATTTTAAAAGTTATCAGGAAGACTCAAGAGCAAGTTTGAGCTACTAGAGCAAGGCTCAGCAAATTCAAAGTTAGCTTCTCCAAGTTAGCTTCTGTGTCAATGTGACACAGCCTAGAGCATTAGTTCTCAATCTGTGAGGGGTGGACAATCCTTTCTCAGGACCATCAGAAAACACAGGTACTTATAATTCACAATAGTAGAAAAATTAGAGTTATGTAGTAGGAGGACATCATAAAATAAGGAATTATATTTAAGGGTCACAGCATTAGGAAAATTGTGAATCACTGCTTTAATGTTTTGGCAGCATGTATAGTCCTAGCACTGTGAATGCTAGTCATTAGGGATGAAGCTTCCTGTTGAGCACCAGCTTGATTTCTCCATGTTTAATGACATAAATATGTAGCGTCTTCAGCCATAGGGTCTTACAATCAGGGAGGCAGATGATGAGCATAACAATAAAATGACTCCTAATGACACATTGCTATACTCATAGATCAGTGCATCGCTCAACCTTCATCAAAGAAGGTTGTAAATGTTAATATAGAGTAGTAGTAGTAGATGTTAATATAGAGACCCACAATCTGAACAACAGTGTGCTGAATGACTTTGATGCAATCAATCCTACATGGGATGCCTTCATCAAACTCCCTCCCTTCAAAACTCCAGGATCAATACAAAATAGGAAGTGAATAAATTGTAAGTTGGTGGGTGAATTCAAGGAACAGGGCTGATGCACATATGAACACACAGCAACTTTGAAACATGACAAAGATCTACACAAGTTCAAGCCAGATAAAATACCGGCATGAAGAAGGGTGGCACAAAGTCCCACCTCTAGCCAAGAAGCTATATGCAACTGATAGCTTCTGGAGAGGAATATTTTTTTTCCTTTTGTGTAGTGCTATTAGGTATATTAACCACATTGCAATGGCCGAGAAACACTTAAGGAGATGTTTAACATCCTCCGCTATCAGGGAAATGCAAATCAAAATGATTCTGAGATTCCATCTTACTCCTGTCAGAAGGCTAAGATCAAAAACACTAAAGACAGCTTATGCTGGAGAGAATGTGGAGCAAGGAGAATACTCCTCTTTTGCTGGTGGGAGTGTAAACTTATACAGCCACTTTGGAAGTCAGTGTGGTGGCCTCTCAGAAAACTGAGCATCAACCTACCACAAGACCTAGCTATACCACTTTAGGGCATATACCCAAAGATACTCTAACATACCACAAGAACACTTGCTCAACTATGTTCACAACAGCTTTATTTGTAATAGCCAGAACCTAAAAACAACCTAGATGTCCCTCAACCAAGGAATAGATAAAGAAAATGTGGTACATTTACATAATGGAGAATTACTCAGCTATTAAAAGAATATGGACACCAGGAAATCTGAAGGCAAATGAATGCAACTAGAAAATTGTGGGATAGGTAACACAGAATGAGAAAGACAAACATGGTATATACTCACTCCTAAATGGATGTTAGCTGTAAAATAAAGACTAACTATATTACAATCCACAGACCCAGAGGGTTGGGGGAGGAGGGTACCCAGATCTCCCTGGGATGACTGAAAGCAGGTGGAGATGGGAACATGAGCGATCAGGGTTGGGGGAGTGGAGGGGAAGAGTACTGAAAGAGACTACTGGAAATGGAGAGAGCATTACAGGGTCAGGTAAAAACCTGATGCAAGGGAATCTCCCGGGAATCTACAAGGAAGACCCCAACTTGGACTCCTAGCAATAATAGATACACAGCCTGATCTGGCCATCTCCTGCGACCAGATTAGTGCCTAGCCCAATTGTCATCAGAAAGGTAACATCCAGCAACTGATGGAAACAGATGCAGACCCACACATAGCCAAACATTAGGCAGAGTTCAAGGAATCCTGCAGAAGAAGAGGAGGAACAAATGTAGGAACTAGAGGGGTCAAGGACACCACAAGAAAACTCACAGATTCAATCTGGACTCGTAGGGGTTCACAGAGACTGAACCAACAACCAGAGATCTTGTACTCTGCATATATGTTACAGCTGTGTAGCTTAGTACTCTTATGATACTCCTAACAGTAGGCACAGGGGCTGTCTCTGACTCTTTTACAGGCTTTTGGGACTCTACTCCTCATCCTGAATTGTCTGGCCCCGCATTAATAAAAGAGGAGGGGCTTAGTCTTACTGCAACTTGGCATGCCATGTTTCATTGATTCTCATGAGGGAGTATCAGAGGAGGAGAGGAGGGAGGGGAAACCTTGGCTGAGATTTAAAATAAAATATATAAATTAATAATTCAGGAAAAGTAATGTTAAGCTTTTAGGAAAAAACTGTTAAGGAATGACCCAAATAGTAAAATATATTAGCATGTTTCAAGCTTAATTATTGGTGTCATGATCTAGCATTTCTTTCATAACCAAAAATCTAATGTATTCCACATTTTGTATTATTTCATTAAATTATATATTTATATATATAAGCCTATCAGCAATGTTGTTTTGTAATTATTTTATGTAGAGAGTTTGGGGATCAGATAAAAGAAAAAAGTTAAGTTAGAAAAATTTCTATATTCTGTATTTTATATTTATTTAAATAGTTACAAATTTTAAATTTAATATTAGATAATTTTATATAATATATGATCATATCCACCTCAATTTTTCTCCTCTATCTTTCTTCAACTCCCTCCCCTCAACATTTCCTTTCTCCAAACTTCGTGTCCTTTTCCCTAACACCCCACTATGTGTAACCAGTACTGGTCATATGTGCATGAGCGTGGGGCCATTCACTGAATCATGGGCAACTACCAAGGACCACAACTTCAGAGGAAAGTAACAATCATTACCCTGCTGCCATCAACTGCCAATAGTGTCTCAGCTTAAGGATGGGACGTTATGAACTGCTTCCCTATTCATACTGGAATATGGCTGGCTTGATTTTGTGCAGGGAATCACAATAACTATGCATTCATGAATGCAACAGCCTTGTCAAGTGTCCTGAAGAATAGCATTTTATAGCATTCCTCCCAATCCTCCAACTCTTAGATTCTTTTTGCCCCCTCTTCTGTGATGTTCCCTGAGTCCTGAGGGTGAAAGACACCGATACAGATGTTCTATTTAGAGTTGAGCACTCACAGTCAATTGCTCTTTTATGTTTGGATTTGTGCCTGTGGACTTGTGGGTGTGCATGTCAGTATGGAGTTCAAAAATCAATGTCAGGTATCTTCTTTAGTTATTCTCTGAACCTGATGTTCACTGACTTGACTAGGCTGGCTGACCAATGAGCTTCAGAAATCTGTGTCTCTGTTTACTTGTTTTTCTCCTTTTCTGAGACCCTAATGTTTATGTCATTGTCTTCATAGTAGCCTATAGGTCATTAGATTCTGTTAATTTTTCTTTGTTTTTTTTATCATTCTGTTTTACAGACTAGGTATCTGTTCTAGTTGTTTCTGATGCTGTGATAAAATACCATGACAACAAACAACTTGAGGAGGAAAGAGTTTACTTGGTTTATACATTATAGTCATTACTGGAGGAAGCCAAGGGAGGAGCTTGAGGCAAAAACCATGGGAGGATTGCTCTCTCTAGCTCAATGGTTCTCAAACTATGGTTCTCGACCCTATTTGAGGTCAAATGACCTTTTCATAGGGATCACATAGCAGATACCCTGCATATCAGATATTTACATTACAATCAATAACAGTAGAGTTATGAGTAGTAACAAAAATAACATTTTGGCTTGGGGATACCACAACACAAGGAAATGTATTAAAGTATCACGGTGTTATAAAGGTTGAGAACCACTGCTTTAATGTAATCAGTCTTACCCAGCTACAAATCCTGAGAGCTACAATAGCGACCTGCCTGCAAGATGTGACCACCAGATTTTTTTTAATTTTACTCAGACAATTTCAAACGTATACATAAGGTATGAAAATAAAAAATGTTTCCAAATGACCATGGTCATTCATTCTCCCATCACTGAAGAATATGCAAGAATGCAAACTCATAAAATGAAAAGAAACTGTCCAGAATAACTAGTTCTTCATCACTCTAACCATAGAAAAGCACATCCTATAATACCCGAGCTCAGAAAAAAAAGAAAAAGAAAAAGAAAAAAAAAAAAAAAAAAAACTGACATCCAATCTGTAAGGCTCTTAAAGGGTGCTTTTTGAGTCCTCTTAGGTAAATGGGAAGACACCTACAGATAACACTTCCCTGAGTCGCAAAGATCTAGGCTTTGTTCTTACTTTCTGCCAATTTGTGAATAATAAAGTTACTTTCCCTGCTTATTTGTGCAAATGCTTTGTTTTATTGATCTCATACTCTAGTAACTTTCTCTCAGATCTAGGAATCTGAGCAGAAATTAGTGAGCCCTTCCCTGGAAATGATACATGATTTCTCCTCCATGGGGTTGGTGCCTATGCATATTTTTCTCATGAAATACTGGGTTTTTTAATACTACAAGTATTTTTAAAATCATCTCACCCAAAATTTAAGCTTCTTCTTGCAGTTGATGTTACATTCATTCTATCTGTTGATGGGCTCGGAATCACATGACGACCTGGAGACATCTTCTTTACTTCCCATGCCAGTGAGGTTGGCCTAACAATTCAGAACATATAGTAGATTATTTTAACAGAAAAGGAGGGGTGGGGCAAACTAATCTTTCCTTTTGGCTGTCAATGAGCAAAAACATGGTCAAAGCCTGCAACCTTGATACCAGAAAGGTTCTACACTAACAAGTGAGCAATTGCTGACTGTTTATGGTACAGGATGTTCCACACAAACAACAGCAAGCACTACTTCTCTCGAAAGGACATGAGATGCACTGCTTGTCTGCTTGTTTGAAACAGGATGCATTAGGCAACTCTGGCTGGCCAGGAACTTTCTATGTAGACCAGGCTGGCCTAGAACTCAAAGATCCTCCTGCTTCTACCTCTTGAGTACTGAGATTAAAAGTGTATATCACCATATCAAACTGAGATAAACTTGTTATGAATTACAAGCTTCTCCATATACTGAGAAAAAATTAAAGCAATAGTACTAATTCATGTTATTTTGTCAATATCCTAGAGAATTCAGTTTGAGGAAAAATAATCAAAACAAAGGAAAATAGTAAGGGTAAAAGGAAGAACACTTAAGAAAATATGAACTACTTCTCTACCTCTTAATCAACATAGAGTAGAAATGCAAAGACACCATTGCTCTTTATTGGAAAACCTAAGTGGTCTAAATGATCTTCTGTTCTCTTTATTCCCTACCCTGCAACAGCTGACAGATACATATCCTACTGAAATGTTTTTCTGAGCAACATCCTAAATTCCTATTCAGAGCCTATCATTCCAGTTGGTCTCTCTATGGCTTACTTTCCATGTGAGGCAGTCATTAGATATTTTTCCCCTCACTCAAAAAGAAAACAAAACACACACACAAAACTGATTACTGATAGATAATTCCATAAAATATTAGTCAAAAGCTGGAAGATTTGGATAAGCTGTTATGAAATCATCTTTCTGAAAGAAGTTATAGCCCTACAGATGAAGGATGTTCATTTCCATTCAGCCTTGTCAACACCTGGTATCTTTAAAAAAAAAAAAAAAAATAGGCCAGGCTGGCAAACACCTTTAATCCCAGCACTTGGGAGGCAGAGTGAGGTGGATCAATGTGAGTTCAAGGCCAGACTGGTCCACAGAGGTAGTTCCAGGACAGCTAGGGATGTTACACAGAGAACCCCTGTCTGAAAAAAAAAAAAAAAAAAAAAAAAAAAGTTATTGGCAACATGGTACAACAATATCTTTGTTTTCTTTTTTAAGCTTGTATTGTCACCATTTAAATTTTCTTGTTTTGGAGTTTACATATTGGTTTCTTTGGCTCACTATTTCTATTATTATGTCATTCTCCAAATGATTTAAGAAAGTTTATTACTGCTGCTATCATGATGCATTCTTATGATTTGGAGATATTCCTTAAAATTTAAGTTTATATACAGACTTATTTTCTTATTGCTAAATCAAGCAAGTCAATATTTTCTTTGGTAGTTTCTAATTTTATCTCAAAGTCTTTATTTAAAATCTAGCTATATGAATTCTTGTCACGAAATTTTAAATATATGTATCTTTAATCCTAAACTTTAAACCCCCAAGTCAAGCATGACTTAAAGACTACACAAAAACTAATGCTATCAACAGGATATTTAAGGCTGTTTTCCTCATGTTGGAGCTGCTTCAGAAGGCAAAGAGAGATGTGGTAGTAACTAGTTAATACAAAAAGAGATGCCCTGATCGCTGAGAAAATGTCTAGTAGATAAAGTGCCTGCATGCAAGCATGAAGACCTGAATCTGAATTCCCAGTAACCAGAAAAAACGCCAGATACAGTGACATGCATCTATAATCTCAGATCAGGGAGAACAGAGACAAGCAGATCTCTGGTGCTTCCTGGCCAGAAACTCTACCTAAACCTGATAAACTCTAGGGTCAATGAAAGACCTTTCTCAAAAAAATGTGGTAGAAAGTGATAGAGGATGACACCCAACACCAATCTCTAGCCTCCACATGTACACACATATGTGTTCATGCACAAATACTTGTCTAGAAACAATACACACACAATCTTGGACCTGAGCATAACTCATAGTATTCTGACCTGTTCTTCTGGTAATTTAAAGCAGCTGGCTAAGAAAGCTACTAAATGATAGGATAAACAGTATCAAAATTTTGAAAAACCTATCTATGATAATGAGTTTTGAGATGTATTTCTCTCCTTGATGGGAGATGTCATTCTGTAAACATGTTTCTCTTATTGGTTAATGAATAAAGCACTGTTGGCCAATAGGAAAGCGAGATGGCAGGACTAGGAGACAAGGAGGTTTCAGAGAGAGAGAGAGAGGTGAGAGATTCAAGATGTAGAGACTTGAGAAGAAAGTCTGGACCCACTCTCCGCTAAGATAAGACCACGTGGGAACACTTAGGTTAATAGAAATGGGTTATTATTTAAGACAGAGCTAGCCAATAAGAAATGCTAATAACAGGCCAAAAGCATTATATCTAATACAGTGTCTCTGTGTGTTATTTGGGGCTGGTGCAGCTCTAGGACCAGACCGGGGGGGTGGGGGTGGGGGGGAGACGGACTCGTAATATCTCCTTGCATTTCCTACCTTGCCACCAGGAATTTTTAAGAAATTTATGTAGTTGAAATGTATATAAACGACTTCTCATGAATGGACATGACTGTTTTAACTCAAAGAATCAATGAGCCTTGAGTATCTTGTGTGCTTTAAGTTCCTTTAGTCTATGAGATGAAATACAATAACTTGAAATGATATAAAGAGAATATTAAACAGCTAGCTAGAGCATAACAGTACCTAAAATTAGGCTTTCTAGATTTCTAAAACTTTAACAAAATGAAATATCAATGTGGTATTCTAATTTTCAGTAGCAAGTAAATATATAGAAAGAAAATGAAAAACAATTTCCTAACTGCCTACCACAATGAGAAAATATGCTATACTTTTGCAGAGATTGGTTTTTCTTTGTGTATTCTCTACACTTACATAACTGATTTGTTGTCTTTATCTTAATGCCAATGATCCACCCTCCAAAACACTTACCATCCATATACGACACTAAGTTCCATTTTGTTATGCCATTAGATCACAAAACCTATGTTGTCACTTGTAGCAATTCAATTTCTGTACTAAATAATATGACTAGCACTGTCAGTTGCATTAATAATAAGTATCTGTTATGGAACAAAAGAGAAATGTAATAGCCAACTATTAGATTGTTACGGGTTTCAAATCAACCTAGTGTTAAGTCCACTGTCAATTTCAATGCTTGCTACTGAAACTGGGGTTATTGCAAACAAAAATACCAGAGTTCATTACCTGCTTTGAGCATCTGTCTTCTCCAACTTTTCCTGAAGTTGAATCCAGTCGATCAATGCTTTGAAATCTCTCACATAGTAATCCAGCATCATTAGCACCTCCTAATTTAAACAACAAAACATTAGCTACTATTCTGTGGTAGAAAAAAAGATTAAGGAAAAATTATTAAAGTAAATGTTTTTCAGGTTAATAATGTTTACATTCATTAAGGAAGCTATATAGCCTTTTTTTTTTAATTCTTGTTTGTTTTACATTCTGCAAAGACCTTTTAAACACCACACATGACAAAGAATACAAGACTAACTGAAAGTTCCTCCATTTACCCTTCCAAACCCTACTCCAGCCTTCCTCTAGTAAGGAGCACCTCAGCATAATACTGAGGACAAGTGACAAGAGGAGCCATAACTTACAATTCCTTAGAGGGGAACCTTCAGCATTAAACCATGAAATATAATCATTATTTGGATTTCTCACATACCCATGATTGGGTTGAGGAACTCTCCTTCTGTCCTTCTACTTTTAACATGAGTCCTGGGAATCAAACTCGGGTTGTCGTCAGGCTTAGGCAGTAACACCAATACTGTCTGAGCCGACTCAACAAGCAGTATTTTAATTCCAAAAAGTTCCTATTCCATATGACTCAGTCTCCATCTCACACTTATTAATTACATTTTTACTACTAGTTTTCACCACAATATCTTCTTTAACAAATAAATTACTCTGAAATGTTCTCCTGAGCTTCTCTGTTCAGAGCTCTGCATTTTCTGGGTCAAGCCCCTATAACTGCTTAAGTAAAAAAGACCTCATTCAGGATGGTTTCTTCAAGTGCCAAACACTTGCTTGTGAATTTCAAGATTCCATTATTTTTTTTTCTGCAGAGTAGTATTCCATATTGTGAAGATGTGCCACATCTTCTTTATCCATTCTTCAGTTGAGGAGCATCTAGGTTGCTTCCAGGTTCTGGCTATTACAAATAATGCTGCTATGAACATAGTTGAGCACATGTCCTTGTTGCATGGATGTGGATCATTTGGGTATATGCCTAAGAGGGGGATTGCCGGGTCCTGTGGTAAACTAATTCCCATTTTCCTGAGGAACCGCCATACTGATCTCCAAAATGGCTGTACGAGTTTGCACTCCCACCAGCAGTGGAAGAAGTGTTCCCCTTTCTCCACATCCTCTCCAGCATAAGTTGTCATTGGTGTTTCTAATTTTAGCCATTCTGGCAGGACTAAGATAGTATCCCAAAGTTGTTTTGATTTGCATTTCCCTGATAGCTAAGGATGTTGAGCACTTTCTTAAGTGTCTTCCAGCCTTTCTGATTTCCTCTATTGAGAATTCTTTCTTCAATTCTGTACTCCATTTTTTAATAGGGTTATTTGGTGTTTTGTTGACTAGTTTCTTGAGTTCTTTGTATATTTTGGAGGTCAGCCTTTTATCAGATGTAGGATTGGTGAAAATTTTTCCCATCTGTGGGCTGCCATTTGGTCTTGTCCACTGTGCCCTTTGCCTTACAGAAGCTTCTAAGTTTGAGGAGGTCCCATTTATTAAATGTTGATCTCAGTGTCTGTGCTCCTGGAGTTATGTTCAGGGAGCGGTCTCCTATACTAATTTGTTCAAGGGTACCTCCTACTTTCTCTTCTAAGAGGTTCAGTGTGGCTGGATTGATGTTGAGATCTTTGATCCATTTGGACTTGAGTTTTGTGCATGGAGACAGACATGGGTCTATCTGCAGTCTTCTACACACCATCATCCAATTGTGCCAGCACCATTTGTTGGAGATGCTTTCCTCCCCCCATTGTATTCTTTTGCAATCCCCCTTTTAGGCACATACCCAAATGCTTTGACTCCAAAATTTAAGTTCAAGGACAAGTTACTGGGGAAAAGGATTTCTATTTTTGTTTCCACAGAAAATGAAAAGCTGTGGATTTCTTCCAGACTAATGTGGTTTGATCAAGCCAGACCGCCTGAAACAGAGTACCAGGTGATTCTACATTCAAAACAGCCGGACAAAGCCTTACAGACTACAGCCAGGATTTCTGCATCTTCTTAGAATCCCCCATGACAGCGCCCCTTACCAGCAGGAAGTAGTTTGGAAAGAACAATGCCCAAATTCCCAAATATTGTCTATAAATGTTTGTTTTCATTTAAATGGACTTGGTTATATAAAATAAATAAATATTTAAAAAAAAAGATGTGGCACATCTACACAATGGAATACTACTCTGCAGGAAAAAAAAAACAATGGAATCTTAAAATTTGCAGGCAAGTGGATGGCACTTGAAGAAACCATCCAGAGGAACTAAGATACAAGGTATATTCTAAGAGATTCATATAAAGTCCCTCACAGAAGGGGGAAGGGACAAGTCCCCCAGAGCACATGGGAAGTGGGAGGGGGCAGTAAATGGAGAAAGAAGTAGGAGAAAGAGAAGGGGAGGAGAGGAAAGCACATGCAACAAGGAAGATTGAGTCAGGGTAGGAATAGAAGACAGGAGAGAGAGAGAGAGAGAGAGAGAGAGAGAGAGAGAGAGAGAGAGGGAGGGAGACAGAGAGAGGGAGACAGAGAGAGAGAGAGAGAGAGAGAGAGAGAGAGAGGAGAGAGAGAGAGAGAACATAAAAGAGGGAGCCATTATTGGTTTGAAGAGAAAACTGAATCTAAAGAAAGGTCTAGAGACCTACAGGACTGCCGCCAACTAATAATTTGAGCAACCATGGAAAGGCTACCATAAATGCCCTTCCCGGATAGTGAGATCAACAACTAACTTATCCACCATCATGGAGCCCTCATCTAGTACCTGTTGGAAACAGAAGCAAACACCCATAACTAAACACTAAGTTGAACTAGAATTCAGATGCAGAGGGAGAGGACAAGACCAGGTTGCAGAAACACATAGAGACAGCTGACCTGAATAAGGAGGAGCTAACAGGCCCCCAGACTGATAGCTGGGAAGTCAGTATGGGACTGACTCAGCCCCCCCCCCAAATATGGGTCTCAGCTAGAAGGACTGAGCAGTCTAAGGGACCTCAGACAGTGGAACCAGGACGTATTCCTGGTGCACAAAATGAGCTTGCGGACATGGAGGGATACTGCCTTAACCTAGAGACAGGGGAAAAGTCCTAGTCCCTACTTCAAATGACTTGACATATTTACATGACCCCACTGGGATAGCATAGCCCTACATGTGGAATTGGGGTGGGGGGATGGGAGGGGAGAGTGGTCAGGGTGCATGTGAGGGAAAAGAAAGGGTAAGAGGGAGGAAGAGAGGGAGAGAAGAAGGGAGGGAGGGAGGGAGGGAGGGAGGGACGGGGAACTGGGATTGACATGTAAAATAATAAGTTAAATTAAAAAAAATAAAAAAAAAAAAAAAAAAAAAATCATCCACCACAACCAAGTAGGCTTCATCTCAGAAATGCAGGAATGGCTCAACATAGAAAAATCAGTCCCCTATATAATCAGAATCCACTATATAAACAAACTAAAAGAAAAAAAAAAAACACATGGTCATCTCATTAGATGCCTTTGGCAAAATCTAACAACCCTTCATGATAAAGGTCTTGGAGAAATCAGGGACACAAAAAACATACCTAAACATAAGGCAATTTACAGCAAGCCAACAGCTAACATCAAATTAAATGGAGAGAAACTCAAAGTGATTCCACTAAAATCAGGAACAAAATAAGGCTGCCCACCCTCTCTATATCTGTTCAATATAGTACTTGAAGTTCTAGATAGAGCAATAAGACAACAAAAGGCGATCAAGGGGATACAAATTGGAAAGGAAAGAGTCAAACTTTCACTATTTACAGGTGACATGATAATATACATAAGTGACCCCAAAAATTCTACCAGGGAACTCCTAGAGCTGATATACACTTTCAGTAATGTGGCAGGATACAAGATTAACTTAAAAATATCAGAAGATGGAGAGATGGCTCCACTGGTAAAGGCTAGGCTCACAACCAAAAAAGAATTATCAGAAACTTCCTTTATACAAATGATAAACAGACCCAGAAAGAAATCAGAGAAACATCACTCTTGATAATAGCCACAAAAGATATAAAATATCTTGGGGTAACTCTAACCAAGGAAGTGAAAGACCTGTATGACAAGAACTTTACTGTGATGATATGTTGTTTCTGGCCTAACAAATAAAGCTTGCCTTAAGATAAAAATGTAACCTAGATGCCCCTCAACTGAAGAATGGATAAAGAAGATGTGGCACATTTACACAATGGAAAACTACTCTGTGGGGGGGGGATGGAATCTTGAAATTCACAGGCAAATGGATGGAACTTGAAGAAACCATCCTGAGTGAGGTAACCCAGTCACAAAAAGAGGAACATGGTTTGTACTCATTCATATATGGATTTCAGACATAGAGAAAAGGATCACCAACCTATAATTCACACTGCCAGAGAAATAAGGATACGAGGAGGAGAAACCTAAGAGATTCATACAAGGTCCCTCAAAGACGGAGAAAGGAACAAGATCTCCTGAGCATATTGGGAGCAGGGGATTAGGTAGTGAGTGAAGAGGGAGCTAGGAGAAAGAGAAGGGAAGGAGAGGAAAGTATGTGGGACTAGAAAGTTTGAGTCAGTGGGAGAATAGATGAGGGGAAAAAATAAAGAGATACCATAAAAGAGGGAGTCATTATAGGTATGAAGAGAAAACTGACTCTAGAGGAATGTCCAGAGACCTACAAGGATGACCCCAATTAACAATCTGAGCAACAGTGGAAAGGCTACCTTAAATGCCCTTCCCTGATAATGAGATTGATAACTAACTTATCTACCATTATAGAGCCCTCATCTAGTAGCTGATGGAAACAGAAGCAGACATCCACAGCTAAACACTGAGCCAAACTGGAATCCAGATGCAGAGAGGGAGGAGTGATAAGAAAATGAAGACAAGACCAGGCTACAGAAACCCACAGAGACAGCTGACCTGAGCAAGGGGGAGTTAATGGATTCCCAGACTGACAGCTGGGAAACCAGCATTGAACCTACTCAGACCCCCTGAACATGGGTCTCAGTTAGAAAGCCTGGTCAGTCTAAGGGACCTCTGACAGTGGAACCAGGATGTATTGCTGGTGCACAAAAG